TTATTAACTATTCTAAATCTTCAACTAGTATATACACACACACACACACACACACATTGGTTTCTTATTGCCTGCAATTGTTAAACATTGAGAAGGGTAAGCAGTGACGCTTAGTGAGTTCAATAATAGATACAATATAATATTATGCCATATATATATATATATATATATATATATATATATATACACTTCAATATGACAGAAACAAGGAGGAATCAGGAACAACAAAGGCATATGTGAATCATGTGACAAGCTTTCCATACCACTCAACAATTTGATTCAAAGATATACAATCAATAAGACATAAAAATTTCCGTACTTGATATACATCAATAAAGCTTTGGCCCAAATGGCACAAAAGACATACACTTTCTGATGAAACATGTTGGTAGATTTGAGGCTTTTAGCCCTATCTAACCTTCTTTCAATGCCATAGGGGTAGAAGTCATTCTCTTACGAGACATGATCGACACGGCTAGAGGCTACATACCAATACCACTATGAATCTAAGTCCTTTCACTGATCACATGGCAAAATGTACAGCTTTGCTATCATACATAGCAGAAATAATAACAACGAAAAAGCAGATAGCACATATAACACATAACATACAATTGTTCTTATATACTGAACTCACCGTGAATTAACTCGAGATTAAAATAGTAATTAGGGCAGCACTTCGTTACTATAATTAGCTTTCTTTGATGAAAGCAGGGAGCTTTCTTTAAAACCGGGCCTTGCGAAGGTTGAGCTTCAAACTGAAAAGATAAATTTTACTAGGCTCTTCGAGAACTTTAGAACGTTTTTCAGGATTTGGGTTTGATCCTGGGGCTTTGGGGGAAGTTGGAATAGCTTAAAAATGGATTTAGGTGTGAAAAATGTCAAATTTCCAAACTTACCTAGGAGGGTTTGCACCTCCCTTATCTAGGCGAGGCTTCGAACCAAGGAGAGAAGAGGGAAGAAGCACGTGGCTCGCATGCGAGGAAGGCAGGTGGCGAGCATGCAAACGTGCATGTGGAGGGTGTGAGGGCCGACATGCGAGGCACGCATCATTAGTGAGGGTCTCCAGCTTCGGTGCAAGGGGTGTGTGACACGTGTCCAACATGCGGCACCTGCGTGCGAGGGTGATGTGGCTGAACATAATCCATTCTAAATTTCTCGAATTTTGGGATTTTTCTCGGTTTTTGTGTCCCAAACTTCAAAATCCATATCTTTTGCTTACAAGCTCTGTTTTTAACATTCTTTATATGCAAGCGTAGATGAAATTATGCTCTACAGCTTTCGTTTAGACTTCATCGGCTAATATTGACTTTATTTTTAATATTATTACTTTAACAGGTTGGGACAGGAAAATCCATTAAAAATTTATAACTTATTCATCTGATGTCCGTTTTCGTCTGTCTTTTTACTGTTGTACTACTATTGATGAGACCTTCGATTCTCGTTTAGGTTGCGTCAGGTAAAAATCACTCGATATTTATCTCGAGTTTTTAGTTGTCTACTCGTATTCTGAAACATAGAAAAATCATAACTTCCTCATACAAAGTCAGATTTGGACGTAATTCTCAGTTTAACGAGTATTATGACTTTCATTTAGATCACTAAGGTTAAAAATTAGTTTATCGAAACTCACTTTTTAAGCTACATAGTGTTTGTCGATTTTGTCGCGGATATTCGATTGGTCATTACTTCTTTGTTATAACACGGATTTTGATGAGGTTTTCGCCTAAATGTTTTAAAGAGATTCTTTAAAAATTTCAATAATAATATTTTACTTATTTCAAACTTTATATTTTTATGAACTTTCAATATTTGACATTTGATTGGAATCTCATAATACTTTCAATATTTTCTGAGTGATTTTAAACATAGTTTTACTTCATTTCTAGTAAAAACTATATGTTAGAACTCACTACTCAAATGTCATATAATATTTCATAATATTATTCACTTTTAAATTACAAAACATGATAACTAAACGTGTATGTTACTAATACCTCCTCCTTTTGAGGATTTCGTCCCCGAAATTTGAGCGATTAAAACAAATGGGGATATTTTGCTCTTATCTCAATCTTATTTTCCCAAGTATAATTTGGGCCTCGTTGGTGTTTCCACTTGACAAGCACCAAGTCTACTTCTGTATTACGTAATTTCATTCATTCTTTTGTTTACAATCTTTTTCAGGTTCTTCTACATATCTTAACTTATTATCCAGTTTCACCTCGGATAATGGAACTGCTTCATCATATATGATTAAATGTTTACGTATATAACTTACATGAAACAGATCATGAATACCTGCCAATTCTTCCGGTAATTCCAAACGGTATGCTTGTTTACCAATTCTCTGGATGATTTTGAAAGGGCCAATAAATCTTGGAGTCGATTTTCTTTTCTTCTTAAAACGCATAATTCCTTTCTATAGGGATTCTTTCAGCATTAGGAATTCACTTATCTGGAATTCTATAGTTCGTCTCCTATTTGCAACATAGGAATTTTTTCGATCCTGGACTGCTTTAATTCTTTCTCGTACAATTTGAATCTTGTCAATGGTGTCTTGAATCATTTCAGGACCACCAAGGATTTTTTGTCCTATATCACGCCAACATAATGGATTATGACAATTATACCCATATATCGATTCATATACCTTCAATATAATTTCTATTGTTTGTATTGTTCTTTTCGTCTGACCATCTGTCTGGAGATGATAAGTTGTGTTGAGAGTAATACGAGATCTCAATTCACCTTGCATACTTGCCCATGAATGACAAGTGAAGCTACTATCATGATCGGAAGTAATCTTTAGCGGCACACCATGTCTCGCAATAGTTTCATCCAAGCATACATTGTGTGTATCTCTATATTGGTTCTATTTCACGCATGACAAGATAATATGCTATCATTGACAAGAAGATAGGAATTAGGTTAACAAGAAAACTATAACCTTTAGTTTCTAAGACAAAATCTCTATAGACTTTATTAGCAAGTAATGATACACTTCTTGCAGTATATATAGGAAGTGCTTGGGCGAATGTATAATAAGCAATTTTAAAACAATGTGCAAATTTATGAGACACAAAAGAATTTGAGACATCAGAATCTAGAGTTGACGAGAAATGAACTAGGCACAACACAGTCCTCGCGTGCCTGCTATATGGTAATCTGATTTGAACGGCCTTTAGCTTTTGGTTTGCCAAACCGTTCTCAAACTCTTCAAACTTTTTAACTGATTCTGGTGTTCATACCTGTACTCGTTCTTCTTTTTGTATTGGGCTTTGAATCCTAATCTCCGAGTTAAAAACTGAATTCTCATTGCAGACTCTTGGTCCTTCTTAAATTTGATTTATAGACTTCGCTCAAGATAAGGTCTTCACTTTTTCTATAATAACAACTCGAATGGTCATATTTTAATGACCTTTGATTTCATAACACAAAAGATAGACAATGAACCATACTCTTGTTTCGTTTAGTCAAACACTATCATTGAATAATTCTTCCTTCATGTTTTAATGTGATATAATATCTTCATAACTAGTAACACTTCTAGTAAATGGTTACTTAATCCTTTAATGAAGGCTGTTATACTTTTATCGAATACTTTTCAACCATCTCCTTCTTCAATCCTCCAACTCAAGTTTCGTTGCTACACAAAACATGGTTCTCTGAACCAATCAACTCATTTCGCAAATTTATATTAATCTGACTCAATTCTTTACAACCACTAAGGTTTGAACGAAAACCATTTTCTTAGTCATCACCGAAATGAAGGTAATGACATAATCGAACAAAAACGAAATCAATATCTAGCTTCTTGGTAACCTTGTTACATTCCCTGATCGAAGTGTGAGTTTTGTGCTTTCAGCAGTATAGGTCTCTACTACCATTCACACCTACTCATACTTTTTCCAAGTATTATCTCGCAGGTTTCCAAATCACTATTCAAAAGTTTTCACAAAGCGACTTATCACACATGAATGGGTTCAAACAAGTACATACGAAAATTTCTTTTAGACTCAACTAGGGATTTCATGTAGCTATTAAACATATCTTGGATTTCTTATACTCGCCTTCTAGAATCTTTTTTATGCATATGATCGATCTAGCATATTCTAATACTTTATCATAGGTTGATAAAAATTTTACTTCCAATTCTTCATATAAATTTTTTCTCGGGTAGCGTTTATTCTGCAAGACACACTACACAAAAATTTATTCCAATAGTGTGGAGACAAACGGTTTCCAACTACATGTATCACCTTCTAACTCATGCAAGTCATCATGCATATTTGTTTATTTCATTATCCTTTCATGACATCGTTATTCCTATATATGAGTACATTTTCTTCTCTTGGTTGTAACATTTAAGTCTTTCAGAGAAAAAAAATTATAGAGTTTACCAAGAAAACAGAATAATATAATTCTTTACAGAGGAAAAAAATTGTCTTCTAGGTCTATGTTGGGTTTTATGTATAGGTTTACCACACACACACCCGCACACACACACACACACACACACACACACACACACATATATATATATATATATATATATATATATATATATATATATATATATATATATATATATATATATATATATATATATATATGGTTAAGTTCAGATGATAACACTATTTAATGTGAGAACGAGAGAACACTACTTTATCTTAATATTCTACTATTAATTTTGTATATACAACGATATGGTATTACTCATCAACAAATATACGAACAATCACACATTAATATTCAGATTAAAATTTCGTATGTACAACTTTATGATATTATTCATCACCGAATATATGAATAATCATATATTTAATACTCACATTAAAATTTACTAAATTACTATATATATATATATATATATATATATATATATATATATATATATATATATATATATATATATATATATATATATATATATATATATATATATATATATATATTAGAATAACAATATAAAATTGAATATATTTATATTATAATTACTACAATAATATACTTATTAAATTCATACTAGAATAGTAATATAAAGTAGTGTTCTTAGTTTTCACATTAAATAGTGTGTCATTTGAAATTAACCATATATATATAATCCCATTATTGATCCATCAAAGAACTATTTTAGGAAGTGAGAATGCCGCCCACATTTGTACCAAGTTCGCTGAAAAGCTTTTTTCTATTGTCAGAGTTTATCATTTTCATAGCCTCAACAATCGCTATAAGTGTGACCACAAACGCATAATCCACATTAGGATAAATGGTCACCATGAATTTGCCTTCTACCCACTTTACATTCTTCGATGGTTCCATTTTAAACATCTACAAGAATAAGTCCATTAATTAATTAGTTTCAGCTTGAGTTTCAAGTTCATGATATGAAGTACTTACGGAATGATACATACATAACTAAATACTGAAAACAACGAAGGAAATCTACTATAAAACCAACTAATTTCTATGAGATAACAAGAATTTTTACTTGCGCTATTGGTGTGGAAGTATCACCCACATAAACAGTGCAGTTTCTGTTCGACCAGCTTCCTTTCAACTTAAAATCACAAACATCACTACTGGTTTTATTTGCCAAGCACACATCAATAGCAGTCTTAATCTGGATCATGTGTCGTTCTTTTGTGCTAAATATTATATCCGAATTACTTTTACTGTCACCCCTGAATACATTCCATCGTTCGTGTGCAGTCATCAACTGGAAGATAATTATATTATTAATCCATTTCAGTGTTAAATTTAGCATCAAATATTTAAACATCAAATAACCAAAATTAACAAATATTTATATTAAAAATTGAACATAAACTCACCTTTTGACGGATCATAGCAATGGGTTCGTCATCAGCATCAAGTAGCACTCTCTGATGATGAAATGATGTGTCGAATGGTTTCACTTTGAGCAGGATTTTATGGTTCATATCAGTGATCACAATGTTTCCACGTAAAGTTGTATCAACTATAATATCGAATTTAGATGATGCCATGAACTGAGGCCCTATCACAGAAACTGGCGCATAGCTATTGCTCGGTTTAGCCATCGTCAATATACGTACGTCTCCACACAAAGTGAGAGAGAGACAATGAGTGGTGAAAGGCTTTTAACTTGCAAGATGTGCTCTGCCTCAAACGCACATGCAATTATTTTAACGAAGTCTACCCAAGTCGTCTCTTAAGTCGTCATTTGTAATTGACAATGACTATCAAGTCAACACCTTGTTTTTATTCCATGTGGTTGTTTTTTAAAAATGATAACGGGACCATGGTGTCATTTGGATAATTAATATCCAACTACTTTCTATCTAAATAATTGCTACTGTGTGTTTGCCATGTACAAGCTTGCTTAATTTTTGTGGTTTTATGAATAAGCATATAGGACTTTTCGTCAATTTTTCCATATATATATATATATATATATATATATATATATATATATATATATATATATATATATATATATATATATATATATATATATATATATAAAAGGAAAAGTGAGTATACCTTACAGCAGGACATAAGCTTACGTACCTAATTGTCAAAACTACGTAGTTTTGATTAATGATTTTATTTGATGAAAAAGAAAAATGTTATTTCCTGAAAAAAAAAATAATACGTTCCAATTTGTTTCCTTATTTTTATGGAAATAGATATCGTATCTTCCTTTTTTTTTCGATTGCTGTTGTGATCATCATCGTTTGGAAAAAACGATTACCTACTTGAAATCGGATTCCATACGACTGAATTGGATTGGATTTTGTCATCATCGTTTTGGAAAAATAGATATCGGCTTTGCTGCTTGAAATCGGGTTCCTAATAAATCACGAAACAAAAAAGGTTCAAGAAATCGAATTGAAGAAACTGCTTCACGAAAATCAACCTCCTTCAAAACTACAAATACTCTGTTTAAGGTAAATCTTGAAATCGGATTCCTTGTAAATAAGGACTTGCTTTTTGAAAAAAAAAAAAAAAACAATTGCCAATGCGTTGTTGTATGCTGATTTCAGACTTTTGAAGTTGGGATTTCGTTTATCATGTTTTCAGAATTTTAATCTTGGATATTGTTGTTTCAGGACTTTGAAATTTGTTGCTTAGTCTTATTTGTTTAGAGATTTTGATTAGCGACATTGCTATTTTTTAGAGCTGGAAATTGCTATTTTTTAGAGCTCCATATTGTTGGTTGTTCTGAGTTTTAAGAAAGGTAAATATCCAATGTACTTGATTTTTGTATATTCTTCGCTCTCATTATGATTATTAATTATAATGATTTAATCTTAACTAATAGTAAACAAAATGTTGTTAATCTATTATTTAGAAACATGGATTGTGGTCTTGTGCAGGTCATAATGGTTGAAACCGAAGCAAATGATCAAGCTATTAAACTACATGTAACTGAAGATATTGACACAAATGATTTTGTAGAAGCAACATGTGAATCTGAAAAAATTAACGATGTTGATGTGAACATTGAGTGTGACGAAGATGAAGTTAGTGATGAAAGTATATTGGGAAAGGTTTTCGATACCGTAGATGATGCATATAACTTTTATAATGATTATGCGTTTTTACATGGATTTGGTATACGTAAAAATGACATATTTAAAAGCTTGAAAACAAATGAGCCTTTTCGGAAGATCTATGTATGCAACAAAGAAGGGTTCAAACGGAGTAAAAAAATGATTCAAGTGAAAATGAGACAAAACGTCGTAGAGATGTTAGAACCGGATGCCAAGCAAGGCTTCGAATTACAATACAAAAGGATGGGAAATGGTTAGTGGACTTGTTTAATGACACACATAATCACGAATTGAGCATGACACCAACGAAGGTGATGAAGCATCGATCTCATAATAAGTTCCACCGTTCCATGGAATGTAAATCTCTTATGGTTGAACTTGGACAATCAGGGTTGAAACCTAGTATGGTTAAAAAGGCTATTAATGCAATGAAAACCTCAAATGAAGTTGATGTTACTTCAAAGCAATGTGCTGATGTCTTATCCGAGCAACGAAAACAACATAAAGGAAAAGAGTTTTATGGACTTATAAAACATTTTCAAGATAAAACATTAGTTGATAATGACCAGTATTTTGTCGTGGATTTGTGCGATGATGGGTGTCCTAAAAATATTTTCTGGGCTGATGGAAGATCAAGAGACGCCTATACAAAGTTTGGAGATGTTGTTGTGTTTGATGTCACTTATATGACAAACAAATTCAAGATACCTTTTGCTCCCTTTACTGGGGTGAATCATCATGGACAGTCTATACTTTTTGGTGGAGCATTGCTAGAAAACGAAAAGGAAGAAACATTTGAATGGTTATTTGAGCATTTCCTCAAATGTATGTTTAACAAATATCCGAAAGCAATTATTACTGATCAAGACAAAGCTATGGGAAATTCAATAAAAAGAGTTTTTCCAAACACTCGTCATCGTTTTTGTGAATGGCATATCAAGAAGCATGAACCGGAACACCTCTGACCTTATGTTTCCCGTTATAGTGATTTTCAACACTCATATAGAGAATGGGTAATCAGTGACACCATTGAAGAATTTGAAGCCACGTGGGAAGTTATACGTTGTAAGTACAAACTAGAAAGTAATTGTTGGATAAGTGGCATGTATAATCAACGAATGCATTGGGTTAATGCTTACTTTAAGGATATTTTTTTGGCTGGTATGACCACAACTGGACGAAGTGAGAGTATTAATTCATTTTTTGATGGATTTGTTAACTCAAGCACTATGTTAAATGAATTTGTAGTACAATATGACAAAGCAGTTGCGTCACGAAGGGCCGCCGAAGAAGATGAAGATTTCAAGACTATAAATTCGAGGCCGGTTCTGTCCTCAGTACATCCAATCGAAGCAAAAGCAGGTGAGTGTTATACTCGAAAGATTTTTGATATTTTTAAAAAAGAGTGGATAGAAGCTAATAATAATTTAACTCATGAGACACTAAGCAAAAGTATAGAAGAAAGCAAATATCAAGTTGGGCGACTAGATGTTGATAAAACATATTGGCGCATTGGTACTTTTAGTTCTTTGAATCAAGTCAACGTCACATGTTCGTGTGCTAAGTATGAGACACATGGAATTTTATGCAAGCATAGGCTGTATGTGATGAAGAAAACGCATGTTCAAACACTCCCCGATCATTATATTTTACACCGATGGACCCTTAATGCTAGGTACAAGGTAGGTAGTGTTAGTATCGGACTCAGTGATATGAATACTGAAAATGGAGTTAGTACCTTCACATTATGGTGTGTCCATTCAAATTTTAATAAACTAATTGAACAAGCAAGAGACTCTCCTTTGGAGATACAGAAACTTAATACGCTATTGACAAGTCTTTTAGAGGATCAAGCAGTACGAAAGAAATCTATATCTTTTGAGAATACATCTCAAGGTTCTTGTATGGGAATTTCGCAAGTAGATATCATGCCACAGTTATCTGTCCGTGATCCTCTTGGTCCAACTACTACAAAAGGGCGTCCTAAAGTTGCTAGTAGAATCAAGTCTCCTTTAGAAGCCCCCAAAAAGCGAACGTGCTCTTACTGTCAAGGATTGGGTCATTACGCTAGTAGTTGTTCAAAAAGAAAGGTACTTATAGTAATAATTAGTTTTCATGATTTTAGAAGTATGATAATTATAATAATGATTTTTTTTTTCATGTATCAGGCAGATAAATCTATGCATGAGAAAGAAAAATAAGATGTGTTGTTTTTGTGAGCAAAAGAAAGAGCCATATTCTTCTTCAGATTTTTTACATTCTTTTTTACTTTACGATGTATGAATAATCTTGATATTTTTTATGTTTCTTAACATTTTTTTATGTTTTTGAATGAAAATTGTTGATTATTTCTGATTTGTCTGTTTAAAATTGATTGTTGGTTGTTATTATGGGATAAAAATCAATGTGTGATGCTAACATTAGTAAACAGCGAAAGTATGATGCTATTGCGGGCTAAAAGTGAAAATATACAACCACAATGGGTTAAAAGTGATATTAGGATGCTAATATGGGTTAAAAATGAAAATATTCAGCCATTATGGGTTAAAAGTGAAAATTTACAACCATATGGGTTAAAGGTGATATTAGGATGCTAATATGGGTTAAAAATGAAAATATTCAGCCATTATTGGTTAAAAGTGAAAATATACAGCCATAATGGACTAAAAGTGATATTAGGATGCTAATATGGGTTAAAAATGAAAATATTCAGCCATTATGGGGTAAAAGTGAAAATATACAACCATAATGGGTTAAAAGTGAAAATATACAACCACAATGGGTTAAAAGTGATATTAGGATGCTAATATGGGTTAAAAATAAAAATATTCAGCCATTATGGGTTAAAAGTGAAAATATACAACCATAATGTGTTAAAAGTGAATATACAACAACAATGGGTTAAAAGTGATATTAGGATGCTAATATAGGTTAAACATGAAAATATTCAGCCATTATGGATTAAAAATGAAAATATACAGCCATTATGGGTTAAAAGTGAAAATATACAATCATTATGGGTTAAAAGTAAAAGTAGGATGTCATTATGGGTTAACAATAAAAGTAAACATAAAAGTAAGATGCTATTATGAGTTAAAAATAAAATTGTATCCATGAACAAAAAAAATAAAGAAAGTCAATTTTGCCCCTATAACTCCTAAGCAAGTGAACTATTATTTGTGCACACCAACGTGATGATACATATTGCGTAGACAAAATTGTTTAGTGAATAGTGAGGCATGTACAAAACACAGTGAATAAATACAACCAAATAGGAAATCTGGAAAATAATTAAAAATCTGAAAACTTTAAAAGTGAACTAAAATCTCAAATTTTATTAAAAAACATATCAATATCCATAAGAAAAATCAAGAAAGTAGTATTACAAACACACTACTTTTACCAAACATATTACCAACAAAACCTTAGAAATAAAAACATAAAAGGTAAACTAAAATCTCTAAAAGCAACATTGTTGAGGAAAGCTAAACTTGATAAAATCTAGAACTATAGTTTGCCTTCCTTTCAATGTCATAATTTTCATCTCCCATTTCAACTGCTTCCATTATAAGATCTAAATTCTTATCTTTAGTACCCTTTTCAGCTTCACTACCGCTCTTTTAATTGTCAGAATACCCTTTATTTAGTTTGTTTTCAGGAGTTTGATGAGAATTTTCACCATCATTTTTGGGTTGTCATCCAATATCATATTTGTGAAATAATGTTTGCTAAAATGGCACTACTGCATTGTTTATAATTATGAGTGGCTATCTTCTGAAATTGTTTCTATAATGCTCCATTTCGGTTTTGTAGTTCCTGCCTGGTAAACCTGAAGCAAAAAAAATTAAAAAAAAATATCAAGAATCCAATAGGACATAAGTTAACATTACTAGACAAAAATTACAAAAAAAAATTACATCAAAAAAGAGGAGGAACAATGTGTTACTGGGGCAGTTTCAGATTTCTTCCTACCTCTTCCCTAATGTGACTTGATTTTCAGGGAGCATGACTTTGTTCATTTTGGACATTGAATAGGAGTCCATGCTTTTGCTTCAAAGTAGTAAACTTGTTCAAAATGATGAAGGAGTGACATGTAATACATGTGCAAGATAAAAAAAAGCCATTGTGAAAAGTCATACAGATGGAGAATCTGAACAAGTTACATGTGGACCAAGGGAACAAAGCGTAAATTCACATTTTGAGTGATAACACCCTTTTTCGATAACAACCTATGCTATTTAAGCAATTTTGAGACAAAAGTTCACTGGTGCATTTCATCAAACACCTGGTGATCAGACACTCAATCTAATGAAATAAGTAAAAAAAAAATGGAATCAATCTAATTTAATCTCACCTGATGCGCAGGTGGAACAAATTCTGGTTGGATAAAGAGTAGAATTGATGAATTTGTTGGACAAGCAAGCAACAAGATCGATAGGTGTTAAAGAGTACACAAATTCTTGAAATAGTGAGGGGCCCGATTGAAAGATTCTTCGAACCGTAACTAGAAGCCACAGGCAGCTCTTTCATTATTCAATACTTTGTCAAAGAACTAATTTTAGACCCAGTGTTGAGTCTTTTGCATCATTGCTTACGATGATGATCAAGAATCGATTTTTAAATGTGGCTGAAAATATCCGGATTTCGATGGTGAAGGCTTGCGAAACAGACGACGATGCGAGGTTTGTTTTGGGGTTTTTGGTGAACCCATTCCCAGGAACCACCGTCGTGGACGGGTGAAGATGACGAATATGTTCCTCTTTGAAACTGAGAAATAAAACGAAAACCATGTTTGTGGGGTTCATCAGAAACCCGATGTCTATAAAATAAAAAGATAAAGGAAACGAAACAGTATTATATATCGGGTACGTAAGCTTATGTCCTGCTGTAAGGTATACTCACTTTTCCCATATATATATATATATATATAAAATAAGTTAAACATTTGTAATATTACGCAAGTTTTTAGTGCGTACAAATCGAAGACGACTTCAACAATAATTACAAATTTTGAAATATATATCATCAAAATGCAAAAGCAATCAACAGTGTGTATCATCATTTCTATGATTTAATAATAGAGAAATTAAATAACCTCCTATATTTTCTTCGTATTTAATAAAACATGAATCACAAGGAGGTTATCCTCCTGATTTCGTTTTCAGTTGCCGAAGAGAACAAAAAAGAAAGAAACAAAAACAATTTTTCGATAGTCCCTGTGGTTCTAGGCGATGCACAACTATTTAAGAGGGGTGTAGGGCCCCCTTTTTTTAGGGGCCCACTTAAACCAAATCCTCTAATGTCGATTCCATATTTCTCTTCTCGGCTTCTGCGTTCGTTGATACACAAACAACGCCTCAAATCAAAAGTCACGATCACACTTCTTTCTCCCTTCTCCATTCTCGCGGAATTAATCTTTGATTGACTGAATCCCCTTTCTCGATTCTAGTAGGCTTCTTAAATCTTGATTCTAGTAGGCTTCTTCCTCCTCCATTCTCGGCTACTATGAAGACCGATGAAGTTCTCTAGTGATTAAGGTATGTGCTGTGTTTTTTCACTTGATCTTTCAATTATCTAATTATCTATTAGGGTTAATAGTTGGTTTTTTCATTATCTATTTTCACTTGATACCTTCTATTCTCGATTTCTTTGTTGTTGTTTTATTTTTGATTTTTTGAGTTAGTAGTACCATTCATTTTTTGTGGTGCTGGTAAACTGAATCTTAATTTGTTTACTTCTTATCAAGGTATTATAAGATTTGCTAAACTAAACTGGTAAACCTTAATTTGTTTACATCTTGTGAATTGTGTTATTGTGAATTTGTGTTTAAACAGAGAAAAAAAAACACTACAAGTTTAAACAGAGAAAAAAAAGACAATCTTCACTTGTCTATTGATCAATTTCTATGTATATGGCTACTGTCTTGTTCATTGATTTTTTTTTGAATTGAGTATTTTTGAGTTGAAATAATCCTGTAAGTTTGAGTTGTCATTTTAATTAAAACATTGCAAGTTTAAACAAAGAAAAAAAAAGACAATCTTCACTTTTATATTTATTTTTATTACACAATAGGGTTGGAACGAAGGGGCCCCAAGTTTTTAGTTGTCTTAGAGCCCCAAATATGGTTGAACGGCCCCTGGATGGGTGGAGTGGACTTGCAAGGGGGGGGGGGGTAGCAACAGCAAGAGGCAATGATGGCGGTGGTTGGAGCTGTGACATGAGGTTCACGGAGATTGTTGTTGGCGTCCGACATCCTCCTGTTAGCCGCGGAGCTAGATGGGGCGTTGGGGGTACTACAACATCTCCTAAAAATTGTTTTATCTATATAAAAAAAATTATTTGTAAACATGTTCTATGTTATTATACCCCCATCTTAAGATATTGTACATTGTGTTTTAATGTATGGGATATGATAACTACATAGAATATATATTGATAATGGTTGTACTCCCATATCAAAAATTCCTGGCTCCGCCACTACCTCCTGTTGTCGGTTTTCTTGGTTCTCCGGCTAATAATAAGGCGGAGGAAGGTGTGGGAAGTCACGAAGCAGTACCATGGTGAAGATGGTGGGTGGTGGAGGTGGGTTACAGATAAAAAAATGAGGGGCAGTGGGGTTGTCGAGTGGCGGCAGAATGGTGATAGCAAGGTGGCTGCCACCTTTTCCTTCCTTTTTCTGGGCTGAATCTGAAAAAAGGAGATGTAAGGGAGGGTTGGGAGGTGTTGGGTGGTGATTTCAGCCCAAGAGAGGTGGTTTAGGGTGGGTTTATGGAGGTGGAATGATGGTTTATAGTGGTTTACAACAAGAAATATTAGAGATATTTTGGCAGAGATTGTTAGAGAGATAGAGATCAAGAGTGAGAGAAGAGAAGATGAAGGTTGAGGTGTGATTTTAGAGGTAATATAAGCTTTGTTTTATAGCCAAGAATGCCGACACACAAGCTTGATGAAGCCATAACTCCAACTCACTTTTGTACCACTTTGGTGAAGCTTGCACACAAAGATAGAGAGGGGAAGGAAACAAGAACGGGGGAAGGCTCCAAAGAAGGAAAAATCATATTTGTTTAACCCATGAGTCACATGTAGGCCCCACATGGGGTCATACCCCCATTAAATACGTAAAAACACATAAAAACAGGTGCGTTAAGATCCGTGCATCGAGATTTTTATTGAAAAGAAAGTTAGATATAGTTTAATTCAA